CTGTAAGTTAGTGCTAACTTGAGCAAAGAGTTATGGTACTTGTATTAACGCCAGGCCTCATGACTGACTGTGGTGTTCAGTTTAAACTGGTTTGAGCTCTTAATTGTCTTGGGAAGATTTTAATTTTAATCCAGTCAATCTTTAGGGCTGAGTCCAATTTACTAACTAGTCTACTAATTAGTCAAGAATTTACTAGCTGCACAGAGGATGCATAAAGTGTTTGCTTTGATCTGATCGTTGAAACAGTAAAGGCAGCACTGCAATGCTGAACACCTGCAGAGGGCTGGCTATAGGGTTAATTATCTCATTTAATCCTCATCACAACCTCTTTCAGTTAGGGCATGTGCACATAAGGACATGGAGGCGCAGAGTGGGTAAGTTACCTGTCCACGGTCACACAGCTAGTGAGTAAGGGAGCCAAGCAGGGCTGACTGTTTTTTTTTTTTTTCAAGGCAAGTGTTTTGCTCTCGGTGCCTGGAATAAATGTATTTGAATTTTCCTTGTAGAGAACAGGTACTTCAGTGCTGTCAGGGACTGACATGTGTAATTCAAGCACATTGTACATTTTAGCCTGAGGTCTTTTGTTTGGTGTACAGGGCTGTTTTTAGATACCTGGCTGAATACATTCTCTATTTTAAAAGGGTACACTACTATGAACTAGAAGGGTAAATTGTAAGTTGCAAGCCTAAGAATTTAAATGCAAATGTTCTTTGGTTTCAATTAATTTTACTGAGAAAGAGATTGTACTCTGGGGAACCATTTTAAAAAGATGACACTTTAAAACATTTAGAAGTATTGACATTAAATTTAGGACATAATGTTGTGATAAGAAAAGGAAAATATAGTGGAGTCTAACTTTATGTTATATTTTTTCACTGGACATTGTGCTTTACTTTCTGTATGAGGAAGTTTCTGAATGAGGTTGGATAACACTAGCTGTAACCAAGTAGAAGTTTGTTTCCAGCTTGGGTGTTCCTGGTGATAGGTGGGTGGCTGGCCTCCTCCACATATTGATTAGGAACCCAAGTTCCTTCCATCTTGTGGCTCAGCAAACTTTTTCTTAAAGGCCAGGTAGGAAATATTTTAGGCTTGTGGGTCATACAGTTTCTGTTGCAACCCACTCAGCTCTTCATTATAGCAGAAAAGTGGCCATAGCACATTACATAAATGAATGAGTGTGGCTGTGTTCCAGTAAAACTTTACAGAAAGAGGCCTCAAGACCAGTGTGCTGACCCCCGCCCCAAGTCATTAGAGTTCTTTGTATCTAGCTGGCAAAAAGGGAAAGAGAAAGCAAAGAGAAAGTGGACCTCCTTAAATGCTTCGAGCCAGAAATGACACACATTGTTTCCATTCACATTCCACTGGGGTGAGCTTGTCCCACAGACCCTCCAAAATGTCAGAGGCCCTGGAAACCTAGGACTTGGCTGGGTAACTTCTTCTCAGCAACAGTGCTACATGTGGAACGGGGTGCCCATATTCTGGAGGCACAGCCAGCCTCCTCTGCCTTACTCTCATAGTACTTGTCAGAGCCGTATTTGTATGTTTATTGTGTCTCCCCCAGTTCACCAGAAGCTTCATGAACACACAGACCATGTCCGTCTTGTTCATCATTGTATCCTCAGCACCTTGCATATATCAGGCACGTGCTAAGTGATTGTTGGATGAATGGATAGGTAGATGGATGGAGGGATAGGTGGATGAATGAGATTTTATCAGAAAATTTAGGCAATAAGTTAGTATTGACCCTGTGATCTCACTGTAAAGTTGCTTTTTAAAAGAAATCCCTGATACTTGCTGTTTTTTTTGGAAAAAAAAAAGTTTAGCCATAATTTGATCAGAGTGATCTTTTAAAGAGATGAAAAATAATTACTAAAAAGTACAGCTTATGGAAAGTTTTTCCTTTTCCCACAGCAGTGGAAAAGCCAAGATGGTCCATCTCTGACAGGATTTGAAACTTGGTATTTGTTGTTTAGAAACAAGCAGCAAGTCTGCCCTCCTCTCACCAGGCCCTTACAGCACTGCCCTCCTGAATTCAGAGGGAGCGAAGGATGGAAAGTGGATACTAAGGAGAGCATGGGAGGAATGGGGATGGTGGTGTGTTCTGGATTTCCACTCTGCTTCCAGATTCATGGCTTTAAAGTGTTGCAGGAGATGGGCCTTGGTTTCTTCATAAAACAGTTCTGTGGGCCGATTTCTAGGATGAGTGGAGAGTCACTTTTTGAAAATAGCTTGATTTGGGGGATTTGTCAGCTGATTGGAGTTACTTTCTGATGCTATGTAGTTCGTTTTTATAGAGGATATGATGATGCAATTCTTGAGGGCAGGTATGGAAATTTTTTTTAAACATTTACTGATACAAGAGGCTATAAAACCTGCCTGTGATAAAACTCTTAAGTACAGAGGCCCTGCCCCCAGCTCCTGCATACTTCATGCCCCCGACTAGCCCTCATCTGGTGAGTCCCGGGAACCAGTCAGGCAGGGAGCCTGGTGCTCAGGGGCTGTTTCAGGAGACCGTGTGGTTTTAAGCCTCTGAACCACATATGATCTCATTGATGGGTCCA